GGGGGGGGGGGGGGGGGGCCTGGGTTCAGGCATGGGGCCGGGGTATGTTGCTTGAGGGGAGCACGCCCGGCGAACCTCGGATAGGGCGAGACGCCGAGGGTGTACCAGGGAGAGAGGCAAGCCAGAAAGCAACAAGAGCCTCCCCGGACGACAATCCCCCATCTGAAGTCCCGATTAGTATAGTGGTGAGAATCCCCGCCTGTCACGCGGGAGGCCCGGGTTCAATTCCCGGATCGGGAGGTCTTTTTGCTTCACCACTCCCGGTGGTCGAGCATGCTCCCTCCCTCCGCCCTGTTGCGAGGGGGGGGGAGCCAGATCCGGGTCTGCATACATGGGGGGGCGCGGGCGGGCGGATTCCCGCTCGGCGCCAGCATGGCCCGCGAGTATAATACCAAGCCAGGGCTGGTGGCGGAACGGGCCGCGAAGTCGAAGCATGGCCGCGGCCAGCGCCGGGGGGAGCCCCAGTTCCTCCTCGCGGATGAGAGGGCGCCCTCTGGTGTGCAGCCATCGCATGGGCCGGGGGAGGGTGCGGGTCGGCGGGCACGCCTCGAGAGATCTCTCCCCCGGGGGGGAGGGCGCGACGACTGACCCAATCAAGGGCCTGCTGCGTGTCGGCTATACCCGGGGGGGGGGGGGGGCCGTTCACGAGGGCAATGCATTTTGCCCGTACACACAGGGGCAGGCCATGCTCGGGGGCGTTCTAAAAAGAAGCAGGAATGACCTGTTCCGGAGCATCTGGTGGCTGAGGTGGGGGGCGCACTCGGAAAGCTGGCGCCCGTGCCATCGCCCTCGATCGGGCGAAGGGTTGCCCTGCCCAGCGTGTGTCGGCTGCCGGGGGGTGCGGCGAGACATCGGTGGCTCACTCGGGGAAGGGCCTTTTTCGGGGGAGAATTGAAACGCTCGGACTGATTCACCGAGGCTTGTTCTCCGATATGGAGATCACGCCTCGGAAGAAAGCATTTCGTCTCGAGAGGTACAAGAAGGCAAGCGATGACAATAAAGCGCGCGCGGTCTTGTTGGGGGAAGCAAAAGTATTTACATCAGAGACTACTGGCTTGGGGGGGAGAAAGCCAGGCCAAGGAGGCAATGACTATCCTTTCTAGGGTAGCCGTACATGGGAAAGAGGGCGCGGATGCCGTCCCTTATATAGGGGTTAGGCGCATGGGAGAAGGAGCACCTTGCCCTCTTCCCTGGGCGCCGAGGGAGGAGGCGACCGGGCGGGGCGAAGGTCTGTACACGGAGGCGCGGCTCTCCCCAAGAGGAGAGGAGAGCCGGGGATCCGACTTCTCAGATATGGTCACGTGACAACCCGTGACCAATTCTGGGATTTGGGCGGCGAAGGTTACAGAATTTGAAGGTATTCGCGTTGCCCCCACATATGGCCGCGTAGCTCAATTGGATAGAGCACCTGACTACGGATCAGGAGGTTGTGTGTTCGAGCCGCATCGTGGTCAAATTCCATTTTGCCATCTTGGGCGCATCCTTTTTCTCAGTCTCTTCCGGCGGCTCAAGAGACAGAGAGAGAGGGGGGGAGAGAGAGGGGGGGGAGAGAGGGGGAGAGAGAGGGACATGCGTGGTTGGGCGGCAAGACAGGGAGTCCGGGGAACTACCGCCGTCGATCGACGAGAGAGAGAGAGAGAGAGAGAGAGAGAGAGAGAAAGAGCATCGGGCAAGCGCGGCGCGAGTTCACCAGTGGCGGCGCGCTTTTCCGCCACAGGGGTCTTCTCTCTTCGTGGCCCGCGGCACGCCGGGGCCTGACGGCCGGCCGGTGAAAGCACGGGCCGTCACAAAAGGTCATCCCGGCGACGACGGGGCGCATCCCGGCCAGAGAGGGCAGCGCCGACCCCAGAGGGGACCACGCTCAGGGACTCGCCAGGGCCACGAGAGGAGCGGGCGTTTGGTTGCCCCTCGCACGAGTGGTGCGTGCCCGGGAGAGCCTCGTCGTGCGCGTCCTTCTCTCGCGGCCCTAAGCTGGGCTGTGGGTGGACACACCGGCCCCAAAAAGGAAGAGAGGCAAGCCCACTGTGGGGCTCGAACCCACGACCCTGGGATTAAGAGTCCCATGCTCTACCAACTGAGCTAAACAGGCTTACATGGCGTAGGGGGCTCGCCGCCGGAACAAAAACTCTTCATTTTCCACCCGGCTCCGAGGCCGAGCGAGGGTTTGCGCTTGTGTCTGTCCGCGCGAAGGCTCCTGACCCACTGCCGGGGCATCGACGCCTCGGAGCCACCGATGGCCAAGGCACGACGTGGGCAACCCCGGCGCTTGCAAAGCGAGGCTCGGCATGGGACACCCATGTCGGGAAGACACGCGGTCATCGGACGCCTGGGTCATCCGTTGGCGTTGTGGTTCCTCCATGGCGTCCGCGCAGGGCCCGACCTCGGGCGGGGAGGGGGCCATCGCAGCGGTGCCTGTGGGGGCTAAGAACGCAGGTGCGACCATGATGAGAGGATCTGGCCTGCCACGCCGGCTGGCTGAGATGCCGGCTCCGGCGATGGAGGGTCAAAGGTGCCGGGGCCCCAGATGGTGCTATTTGCGACGCGGTGTGTGGGAAAAAAAGGGGCGGTGACGCGTCGGAAAGAGGCCACCCAACGGGTGGATCGGAGCAGGCACTCGGTGCTTGCGGCTGCCCATGGTGCCAGGAGAGCATCCTCCGAGCGCTCTTGGAAGGGGCCGGCCACACGTGCAGGCGAGCCGCGGGGCGGGGCCAACCAGCGCCTGCTTGACAGCATGCCTCCGCGCTCGCGCGGGCCGGCGGCCGCAGATGCCCCATGGCCTGCGTGGGGGATGCCATGCTCCCGGGCTTTGAGGTCATTGCAATAGGCACCGGGCCGAAGCATCGAGGGCGGGTCTGGTGTGCCAGCATGCAGCCAGAGGCGGCGCTCTCATTCCAGCGGAAAAAGTGACACAACCCGGGAATGATCAGTGCCAAGGTGGCGATCACGACCGGCCGGGCAGGCGCCAGCAAGGTCCAAGACCAGACCCAGGCCTGTGCTCTCTGCCGGGTTGGCTAGCTGGCAGGGGGGGAATTGGCGGCGCCGCCGCTCCTGCATGAGTGAAACGCCCTCGCCGAGGGCGGCAGCCCATCTGGCTAGGGCTATGGCGCTGCCGTGTCGAGTGGAAGGGCATCGGCGCGTGGTTTTCGCCGACAGCGCCCCCGAGGCCTGCTTGCGTTGCTGGATGCGAGGGTATCGACATGGTGGACAGGCAGGGTGCTTGCAGAAGCGGAACCACTTGGGCAAAGGCCGGGCGGTGGCGGAGAACGCCGCCGCTCGCGGGGCCGAAGTCGCGACAGGATGCCATGATACCGACGCCCATTGCAGGGGGATTGGGCCACAGGCAACATTCATGGCGCATGTCTGCCTCGGAGTGATGGTGCTGCCAGCGAAGGGGACCCGACCATCCGCCAAGCAGCTGCCCTTTCAGCAGGCGGCCGCTCCCGCTGGGCTGGCTGGCTGCTGCCGTCGGCCAGGTAGCCGGTCTTTTTTCGAGGGCCTCCGGGTGTCAGGCCCGCCGGCAGCACCATAAATGCCCAGGCCCCATCGAGCGCCAAAGCCCTTTGGCACTACCGGGGGCGGAACGTGTGCACTTGCCACACGGCCATCGGAAAACGCTTGCCGGCGGCAAGACCCTTTCCGATGGACCACATCACAGGAGGCAGACCTGCGGCCCGGATGCGCATGTTGCGTGGAGCTGGGCAGTGGCGATCGTACAAGCCGCCCATGAGGTGCGTTGTATCTTGACATCGATCAAGTGCGAGACACATGGACGGCCAGGGTCGATGGTGTGTAGGCCGCCGCACCGAGTGGCGTCGCCGACGCCCGGCCGGCTGGGTGGCGACTTTGTCCCGCGAACGGCCATCCACCACGCGAGTCGAAACGCCTGGAAGAAGGCCAGGCGGCTCTCAGTCCGGGCGCTTGCTGTCGCATTGGCTCACCTGATGGAACTTCCCGGGAGGGGCGTGCGCAGGTGCCCCGCCAAGCAGGCCACGCGCCCGGAGAATTAATCGGAGAGGTCGCGGCTGGCGTGGACAATGGCGGTTTCGGCGCCAGGGAGCCTTGGGCGCGCGGTCACCTCCGGCAGGGTGCACACCTGCCCAACGAGGGGAGGGGCGGGAAGCTCGGCTGGGGTGGCCCAGAGGACCCGGCCGCCGGAAGGGCGTCCTCTGCTCTCGCTCGCAGACTCCCCCGGAGAGGCATGTGCGGTGGAATATGGGCGCACAGTGCCAGCGGGCCAATGTGGCGGCTCGCTCGGCGCGCGACGCCTGGCGCGCGACCGCGATCCACGGTGCTGGAAGCTGGCGGGCTTATTCTTGCCATGCCACGGAGTGGTGAATGGTCATGGAGGGCACGGCCATTGGCCGGTGTGCCAGGCAGCACGTCTGCCCTGGGGGGCGGCGTGGGCGTGCCCCGCAGTCGCACCAGGCTCCCCGTGGTCAGTGGACATAGCATGGGGGCCTATGAACAGGTCACATGGCGGGATGGACGATGCCTGGCGAGGCGCGAGGCGCATGGCGGCGATGTCGGGGCCGGCCACCCCGGGCCGCAGCCACACAACGGCCGAGGTGTACCTCCTGACCACTTTGGGGGCGTGGGAGTGGCGGTACGCGAGCCCCGGCACGCGGCCGAGCAAGATCCCCACGAGGTGAGCACGTCCTCCCGATGGCGCTGGGCGCATGCGTCACACGGGGTTCGAGGGGGCACCGTCGTCATCGGCGCGGGCGTGGCTTCCTCGGCCGGGGTGCCAGCCCGGGCGGCCGGGGACTTCGACGCCCGGTCGAGCAAGGACAACCGTCGCCATGGACCGGCGAAGCGTGTCCCGTGAAAGAAAAAGCCACAAAGTGGGCCGCCGGCGTTCCAAGAAGAAACCATTCGCGATCGAGGGGCCCCAGCCCTCGGCTCGGTCGATTGCCACATCCCAATGGCGGACCCTCTTGCGGAGGGAGCGCACAACCGCAGAGTATTGGCGGGGAAGGAAGCGGAAAAGGGCAGGGAGGCGGCAGTGCATCAGCCACGATCACCAAGGCAGCGGGGGAGGGTGTGTGGTGGCCGGAACAGGGGCCCCCCTCGCCCGAAACACTTGGACCGGTGCGCGCAGACCACATGCACGGATGTTGAACGGCGTTTGTTTTGCCGAGGGCAGATAGACACAAATGTGCCGGACTGACGTTGAGGGCGGGGATGTGCGCTGTTGGCCCGTGCGCCATGCGTGCCTTTCCAAGTGGGCGACGCGCGGCCAGAGATCAGCCACCGAAAGAGGGGCCTCTTGCCGAGCGACCGGGATTCCGGTCGTTGCCGGGGGTGGGGAGGGGGTGGCGCGGGGCGTCATGTTCGGTGAGGGCCGGAGGACGCTCGGCCAGGCTCGGGGCTCGGCCGTGGGGAGCACACCACCGGCCTCTTTATGCGAGTGCTCACGGAAGAAGGCGAGAGGGGAGGGAAGGAACAGGCAAATGTCACAGGGGACGCCCTTTTTTTTTTAAGGGAGGCTGTCGTGTCGAAACCCGCTTCGGAAACCCCTCCGGAGGGGCAAATCCCGCAGGCCTGGAGAGGGATCATATCAAAAAGGGCCATTATTTATTCCCTGCCCCTCACTGAGCTGGATATATTCCGTAGGATGGGCCGCTGGGGGCCCCGGCGGCAAGGTGCTCCCCGCCCTTGCCCCGACCGGGGGGCCGGCCATGCCCCCAATGCGCTGGCAGTAGCTGGTTCTTGTCGCAGGTGCTGGGCCGGCCGGCCCGCGACGCTTGTCTCATGGGCCCCGTGTTTGGGCCATTTGTTGGAGGATGCCCGGGGCCGGGCCGGGCCCCGGGGGCGGATGATGGCGAGTCGGGTGTTCCCAGAGGATGGTGTTTGCTTTTTCGCGCCGGTCGGAGCCCCAGCGGCGGGGCCCCGTGAGAAAGAATCATATCCGACTTGGCGCCCGACCGATCGGCCGCCGCGCGCTGGGATGCCCCTCGGGCGGATGCTCCCCGATGAGGGCGCGGCTCCGCGGGCCGGCCACCGGCGTGAGATCCGCCTCCTCCGGTCCTACCGGTGGGTGCTTTTGCCGGCAGGGGCCCTGCCCCATTGGATGATCATTCCCGAGCCAAGTCCCGGCTGCCGTTGTTCTCCGAGGCGGGCTTTTGCATGTGGCAAAGCCCCGCCCACCGCCGAGGCACATCCAGTTCTTTGGCCACCGCTGCGGTCAAGACCGACGCCACGAGCAACGCTGCCGGGCCTTTGCTTCGCCTGGGCTGGACTGCCTCGGGAGCCGGGGCCGAGGAAGGGAAGGTGCCCTGTCAGGCATGGCGGTCCCTGGCAGGCTCGAAAAAAAAAAAGGCCGAGTCCATGGTATGTGGCGAGTCGAACGCCGCGGGGTGCATTTCAACCGAGCAGGCTGCCTTGCGGCCGGAGACCCTGCCTGGGAAGATGCGCCCAGCATGTTGGCCTTGGCAAAGTGGCTGTCCTGCCAAGTGTCTGCGCGGTGTTTTCCCCCTCGGCCGGAGCCCCATCCCCTGGACTCTGTGCCCCTTGTCGCGTGCCTCTTCGCGTCCTCCCGGCTCCTGAGATGGGTTCACCTCCTGGATGATCCGGCCCCGGCGAGGTGTGATGCCGTCGAGGGCGTCCTTTGCCGGCCGGCCCATGCCGTCGAATGGCCGCGCTCGTCCGGCTCGTCCGAGAAAAGTTGCCCTCCTTTGCCTTGCCATGGGCCGCAACCTCGGCCGCCCACCGGACACACCGCCTCGCAGGAGCAGACATGGTGGTCTGCTGACGATGGTTTCACCGACCGGCCGGCTGGCCGGCCCACCGGCCTCCTGAGGCCCCGGCTTCGGACATTGTGGGGCCACGCGCGGCATGCTCGTGGGTGGCTGCTCGCGGTCGTGCAACCCCCCCCCCCTTATGTTTTGGTCAGCGTTGGTGTGATGTCCTGCGGCTGTCGGGAGGGCCCTTGCCCGATGGACCATATGCCATCCTGTGTGAGGAGGCTCCGCATTTGAAGGACACATGGTCCATAACCTGTGCACCGAGCCGAGGGTCTGATTTGCCACGGGGACGGGCGGGGCGCGCCCTGTGCCCGGCCGGTCCCCGGACACTTCCCTGGCCACTGCCAGGTCCCCCTCCCCCCCCTGAGCGTGCTTTGATCCAGGTGTGGTCGCATTGTCGGAGCTGGGTGCTGCCCGCGAGGGGCATGCGCACACCTGGCCCCGAGCCGGTGCACCGATGTCCCGGTGTTGCCGGGTCCTAGCACGGAAAGCGCGGCGGCGTCCTTCGCCCGCCCCGCCCCTCGGCGGCATTGGCCGGACGTGCACACCCACCCACACACCCACGCCCACACCCACGCCCACACCCACGCCCACACCCACGCCCACACCCACGCCCACACACACAATCCCCTCCCCAGTCGGGATCTTGGTTGCATGTGTGCCCACGGTCAAGCCCCATGTGGATCGCGTCGGGATGGTTGGTCGCTAAGAGCGCGCCGAGCCTGCCCGGGGGCTCGGAAGCTGCCGGTGGGCCACCTCCGCCAAGTGCCCTGGCTGCTGATCGATCGGCGAATGGCGGCCGTGCGGGCTGCCGGGGTGGCCTTCGCCGGAGCCAGCCCCAAGCCGCTGAGTGATTCCCCGCACACACACACACACACCTCGCAGGGGGCGGGGAAAGCGCCCCCCCCCCCCCCCCAGAATGCATGATGCACGGGGCCCGAGGCTTCGACCCGCGGAGCAGGCGTATGCAGGCCAGGGCGCCACAGGGGAAGGTGGCCGGGACAGCCGGCCGTGCTCTGGAGGCCCCCTCCTGGGAAAATGGGCCCCGTCCGTGTCGGCGGGCCGCGGGGTGCGCATCCGTGTGATGCGTTGGCACCGGGGGGCATGCTTGTCGCGGTCGAGACCAAGATGGCCCTCCGGAGTGCAGGTCCACTTGGGGCTGGGCGGAGAGGGGGGGGGGGGCGTTTTCCTTTCGCCACGGGGGCCTTGCGAAGGGGGGCTCGCGCGCGGGCACCCGCCCGCGCATGGGCCAGGTCCCCCCTGCGGTCGGGGGGAATGTCGGCCCGAGGGCGGTCCGCCGGCGCCGAGGGAAAAAGTCTCCCCCTGCGGCCGAGGCGGGGGCCTGGCCGGGAAGGGTGCGGGCATCGAGAATTCCTCCTCGCCGAAGAGCCGATGGCCTTGGCGCCACGGGCCCGTGGCGGCTTCGGCAAACGGGGGAGCCCCGTTCGGCCGGGCATGGCGCGGCCCGATCCCGGGGCCCAGGGTGTCCAAGCTGCACCGGGGGTCTGGCCCCCTTCACTGGGCCCGGTGCGCGCCCCTGCAGAGCAACCGCGGCCCCGGAGCGATGACAAATGTGGGGGGTGGCCGCGCGGCGCCGTCTTGGCCGGCCGGCAGTCTCTCGGCCCCGATGGCGCCTGGCCGCCCCCCCCCAGCTGGCTGCGACCCAGTTCGGACCTCCCGCAGGATACTTGGGCATCGGCGCCCCCGGCCCCGGGGACAGAATGTCCCTCACATCTACTCGACTCCCCCCCCCCCTTCTTCCTCTCGCTGTCCCCTTGTCGCTTTCCCTTCCGCGCTCGCCCTCTCTCGGTCCCTGGCCCGTGGGTCCCCCCTTCGGAAAGAGCCCCTCTTCCCGACTCCTCCCCCCCCCCCCCCCCTCGAGCGGGGCATTTCTCCGACACCGGGCTGCCCTTGCCGCGGCCGCTGGGCGACGACGGACTCCGAAATGAGCAGCTCGCCCTCGCCACCGAGCTCGCCGGAATTGAACCGACAGCCGGGCATCCCGCTGGCGGACCTCGATGAGCGGCCTCCGGCCGCCACTCCCGGGCCGGCGGCCTCGACGAAGGGCGACCCGCCGGCCGCGTCGATCCCGATCTGGGAGTTATTTCGCTTCGCACGCAAGACGGACTTGGTCCTGATCGCGGTGGGGACCCTGGCGGCGGCCGTGCACGGGGCCCTGCAGCCGGTGTTTACCCTCATCACCGGTGACATTGTCAATGCCTTTGGGGACCCGAATGCGGAGCTCGTACGGACGGTGGCCGAGCGGGTGGTGTGGTTCGCGGTGTTCGGGTTCATTTGCCTGGTGGCGGCCTATCTCCAAACGTCGAGCTTCATGTACACCTCCTATCGCCAGGCGACGCGGGTTCGGGAGCTGTACTTCCGGGCCCTGCTGCGGCAGGAGGCCGGGTGGTTTGACACGCAGAAGGAGGGGTCGGTGACGTCGCGCATCAATGCCGACATCATCCTGATGCAGGACGCCATCTCGGAGAAGTTCGGGGCATTGGTGCAAAATGCGGCGCTCTTTGTGTCGGCCTTCTCGATTGCCTTTGTCCATTCCTGGCGCATGACGCTGGTGGTGGCCGGGCTGCTGCTGCCGCTGCTGCTGCTCTCGGGTGTCGTGTCTGGCCGGGTGCTTCGGGGCCTGGTGGCCGAGGGCCAGCATGCGCATGCGTCGGCCGGCGCCGTGGCCGAAGAGGTGTTCGGGGCCATGCGCACCGTGGCGGCCTTTGGCGGGGAGGTGCGCGAGCTGAGTCGCTATGCGCGGGCCCTGGCGCCGGCCGTGCGGACCGGCGAGCGTCGGGCCCACATCAATGGCCTGGGCATGGGCTTCATCTACCTGGTGACCTACTCCCTGTATGGGTTTGCCTTTTGGTATGGCTCGGGCCAGGTGAACCGGGGGCGCCTGGACACCGGGGAGGTGATCATCGTCTTCTTGACGGTGATGATGGCCTCGACTGCCATCGGGCAGGTGGGCCCGAGCCTGTCGAGCCTGGCGCAGGGGCTCGGCGCGGCGGCCGGCATCTTCGGGATCCTGGATCGCCGGCCGGCCATCGACAACCTGAGCGATGAGGGCCTGAAGCCGGAGACCGTGCTCGGGGACTTGGCATTTGAGGATTTGCACTTTGCCTATCCCAGTCGCCCGGAGAGCCCGGTCCTGCGCGGGCTGAATCTGAATGTCAAGGCCGGCACCACGGTGGCCCTGGTCGGGCATTCGGGCAGCTGCAAGTCCACGCTCTTGCAATTGCTCGAGCGCTTCTATGACCCGGCGTCCGGGGCGGTGAAGCTGGATGGGGTGGATGTCCGGCGGCTGTCCATCCGATGGCTGCGGGGGACCCTGGCGCTGGTGCAGCAGGAGCCGGTGCTCTTTTCCGGCAGCGTGTCGGAGAATGTGCGCTTCGGCAAGCCCGGCGCCACGGATGCCGAGGTGGAGGCCGCCTGCCGGCTGGCCAATGCCCATGACTTTGTGACGCGTCTTCCGCAGGGGTACGCCTCGCAGGTGGGCGAGCGTGGGAGCCTGCTGTCGGGCGGGCAGAAGCAGCGCATCGCCATCGCCCGCGCGCTCATCTCCAATCCCAAGATCCTTCTCCTGGATGAGGCGACGTCGGCGCTGGACACCCGGTCGGAGCGCGTGGTGCAGAATGCCCTGGACCGAGCGTCGAAGGGCCGGACGACGCTGGTCATCGCCCACCGGCTGTCGACCATCCGCCATGCGGACCTGATTGTGGTGGTCGACGAGGGGGTCGTCGTGCAGCAGGGCACGCATGAGGAGCTCATGGCGGCCGGCGGCATGTATGCGGATTTGGTCCTGTGCCAGGACATGGCCGAGAAGGCGGCCAGCATTTCCGACCCCCCTGGGTCGGATGTCGCCGGCGCCCTGGACGACGAGGACCCGGATGCCATCGCGCCGGCGGAGGAGGACCCTTCGCTTGATGAGCTGCTCGATGTCAGCCCCCGGTCGGCGGGCGTGCGTCCGGCTCTGGCGAGCCGTCTTCCCCTGCCTTGCTCGCTCGGTTTGGTTCTTTTTGTCTGTCTGGTTCTTTTTGTCTGTCTGGTTCTTTTTTTTCTGTCTTGTTCTTATGCCTGTCTGTGTTTGCCTTTCCCCCCTTCCCCCTTGCCTCTCTTCCGATTTGCTGCGGTGCTTCGCATCGGCTTGTTGGCACGGCCTCCTGCTCCTCTTCCCCGCCGTCCCATCTGCTGGATGCAGCGAAAGTACCAAAGCAGCCCGGTCTTCCGGGCATACATGCAATCCCGCGGGGACTGGCACTATATCCTGATGGCGGTGCTTGGGGCCGTGCTCTTCGGGGCCATCTACGCGCTGTATGCCTACTTTACGGCGGAAATGACGGAGACCCTGAACTTCAAGCGCGGGGCGGATCTCCGCGAGGCGGCCCTCCTCTGGGGCTTGGTGTATCTCGGCCTGGGGATATATGCCGCGGTGGCCAGCTACTTGATGAATGTCGGGCAGCTTGTGACGGCCGAGCGGGTGGCCGACCGGATGCGCAAGCGCACCTTCCAGGCCGTGGTGCGGCAGGAGCTGGCCTGGTTCGAGCGGCCGGAGAACGCCACCGGGGCCCTGGCGGCTCGGCTGTCGCTTTTCGCCGACAACGTCCAAGGCAGCATGGTCAGCTGGCTGACGGCCATCGTGGTGACCCTGACGACGGTGGTCGGGAGCCTGATCCTGGCGACGGTGTCCTGCTGGCGGCTGGGCCTGGTGGCGATGGCCTGCATGCCCTTTTCGCTGATGTGCGGCTATCTGTCGACCATGGCCACGGCAAGGCTCAATGACAAGGGCCGCCGGGCCTTCGAGCTGAGCGGCAACTGCGCGGTCGAGGCCATCACCAGCATTCGCACGGTGATGGCCTTGAATCGGCAGGAAGTCTTCGCCCGGCGGTTTTCCCAGGCCCTCCAGGGGCCGATGCGGGCCTGCTTGCGGAGCTCGCAGGTGCGTGGCCGGGGCCGGGTGTTTTTCCCTTCTTTTTTTTCGCCCCCCCCCCCCTCTCCCGGTGTGCGCCCCTGTGCAAGGCCGAGTGATGCTGACTCGCCATCGGGTATGCGGACCTCCTTGCCCTTCATTCTTGGGTGTGTCTCTCTTTCTGGTCTCCCAGCTGGTCGGCCTGGGGTTTGGCTTGGTGGATCCGATTTTCTACTTCATCTTTGCGCTGGCCTTCTGGTATGGTGCGCGCAATGTGGAGGCCGGGCTGTGCGACTTTTCGCAGGTCATCCGCGGCGTGTTCGCGGTGGTCTTCGGATCGACGACGGCCGGGCAGATCGCGGCCCTGGCTCCGGGGTATGCTCGCGCGCGGGGGTCGCTGGTGGCGCTCTTCCAGGTGATTGATCGCCAGCGGGCGATCGACCCGCTGGCCGGTGCTGGCCACGGGCAGGAGGGCCGGCCCACGACCCAGGGGTATGTGGAGTTCCGCGAGGTGCACTTCGCGTATCCCCGGCGCCCGAACCAGCTGATCCTGCGCGGGGTGAGCTTCACGGCGGAGCCCGGCCAGACCGTGGCCCTGGTGGGGACTTCGGGGTCCGGGAAGTCGGCGCTGATTCGGCTGCTGGAGCGCTTCTATGACCCGACCGCCGGGCAGGTCCTGGTTGACGGGGTGGATGTGCGGGATATCCCGGTGGCGGACCTCCGCCGGGGCATGGGCCTGGTGCACCAGGAGCCGGTCCTCTTTGCCGGGACCATTCGCGAGAACATCCTCTACGGCCGGCCGGAGGCCACCGAGGAGGAGGTGCAGGAGGCGGCCGAGGCGGCCAGCGCCCATGCCTTCATCCAGGCCCTGGAGTCCGGGTACGACACGGACGTCGGCATCCGGGGGGGCCAGCTTTCGGGCGGGCAAAAGCAACGCGTGGCCATCGCCCGGGCGATCGTCCGGAAGCCGAGCATCCTGCTGCTGGATGAGGCGACATCGGCGCTGGACTCCGAGTCGGAGGCCATCGTGCAGGAGGCCCTCGACCGGGCCTCCAAGGGCCGGACGACGATCGTGGTGGCGCATCGGCTGGCGACCATTCGCCATGCGGACAAGATTGTGGTCATCGATCGGGGGGTGGTCGCGCAGCAGGGCACGCACGATGAGCTGATGGCCGCCGGCGGGGTGTATTCCCAGCTGGTCAACCAGCAGCTGGCCCGGTAGCGCCGGTGTCCGACGTCCAGACGGCCCGGGGCGCGGCCGGCCATCCGTCGGCCTTTCGACAGGGGTCTCCCCCTCGGGCACACGGTCATCCGGGGGATGGGGCTTCGTGGCGGCGCATCCGCGAGGCGCAGGCAGCCGGGCCCGCCGGGCTTGTGACCGCTGTGCGGCGGTGCGGCGGCCCCGGCGGCGGCGGCGAGGGCCATAGCCCCAAGATGGGTGCTTGTGCGCTGGTCAATGGTGTGGGCAGTTCCGCGATTTGTTTGCCCGATGTCCTGCAGCATGCGCAAGGTGCGCCGGCAAGCTGCATCCCGGCGGATGTACACTTGGATGTGTGTGTCTGTGCGCGCGTGCGCGCACGGGTATCGATGCGCCTGAGGGGACTCTTTCTCCCGCTCCAAATACACCCTGACCTCCGTTGAGTGTGATGCATGTCCCAGCCACACTGAGTGTTCGTCGAGACGGCCGGCTGAGAACCTTTCAGGGGTTGCTTTTATGCCACGTCGATGCCCGGGCCTGTGAGGGGGGGCGGGGGGGAAGGGGGAGGCCCTGTGGCTGGGCGATGTGTCCCTGGCGTTCGGAGGCGGCATGCGCCTTCGTTTGTGGCCAGGCAGAGCAGGGAAAGGCCCACGGGCGTCGCCTGTTTGTTTGTTTGTGTATGTGTGTGTGTGTGTGTGTGTGTGTGGCCGGAGCCGCGTGGGCAGGCCCCCCCCCGGAAAGGGGGATCTGTCTTGATGGCCGAGGCGGGTGTGTGCGGCCGATCGGCCGGGGGGAGGGGGGCGGAGGGGGGGGGGGGGGGGACGGCCGAACGAGGGGCACGGCCGGGCTTATGGGGGCCTCCCACCCGAGGGGTGCCGCCGTTCATGGCGTACCTTTCTCGGCCATGAGTCTGCCAAGGCACCCGGCGGCCTCCATTGTTGGACAGATGTGTCCGGAGGCGATTCCGGGGGCGGGCTTTTGAAAGTGCCCATGGATCATGTTTCTTGGGTTTCCTCGCCGGCTGGGCAAGAGCATGTGCCCATGCCAGCCAGTGGGTGATCCTGCCTCCGCGGCGAGTTTTGATGAAGGGTGTCCACCGGTGGCAGGGCCCCGGGGGGGGGGGGGCATGAGCTCGCGGCAGGTGGTCCCGCGTCGACACGGCATCGGGACCGGGGCTGGTATTTTTTGTCGGTGCCGCGTGCCGTCTGCCATGGATCGTATGTCGCCTGGCTGGCGGTGTGTCTATGTGTGTGTATGTATGTATGTATGTATGTGTGTGTGTGTGTTTCAGAAGGTGCTCTGGCTGAGGTGCAAATCGTCGTCGGGCTAGATGAGCATGAGTGGCTGCGCTGGTGCTCCGCAAGTCGGAGCCACAGGAAGAAGACGGGCTTTGTGCTCTTTTGGTGATGAAGCCCATGGGCTTCATGTGTCATGTTGCCCTTTGGCGACGACACGCGCCCGGACCGCGCGACCCCCATGGGCATCGGGACCGAAGCACAGTCCTGGTCGAGGGACCGGTGGACCGATTGCCCGGGGGCCCGCCGAGGGCACGTCTAAAATGAGGGGCCTCGGGCACGGCCCGGGGGCGTCGACCTCGCCTCGGTGTCGACTCCGAGCGGGTGCATCGCGGTGCGGAGATGTGAGAAGCTCCGCTGGCTGGTGGAGCCCGGGGCGATCTTGCAGGCCCCCTGGCGGAGGCTTGCTGCCCGCGGCGAAAGTGCAGCCTGCCGATGTGTGCCTGGCAGCCGGCAGTGGCAAATAGGGTGGGCACCTTGCTTGTGGACTTCGTGAGCACGGCAAGGAGGGAGGGCTCGCCTTGTCAGTGAGATTCCGTGCCCCGGCGTGCTTGGCGATCGAGAGTTCCCGGGCTATGCTTGGCCCCGGGTGCCGAGCCGCAGGGCAAAGCAGAGCCAACTGGTCGCCCTGGACTGGCCGCCTCTCCGGCCGGGACAATATGCCGGGCGAGGGGCGGCCGAAGTCCCAAGAGGCGTGCGCCCAGGACGTTGGCGATGCATCGGCCCTGTGTGCGCGGCCTCCGAAGGAAATCGTCCGGTGAGCCGAATGGCAGGCTTCAAGGGCTGGCCTTGGGCAGCCGTGACTCCGAGAGCGCCACCCACACACGCGCACACTGACATGTGGGGATCCGGGTGATCGTGCGGTGTTCACCGGGACGATTGGTCCGACCCCCCCCCGTCCCCGAAACCCTTCTTGGCGCCCTCGTCCGGTGCCGAGGCGTCAGCCTTGAGAGCCGGGGCCGCGAGGCGGGAGGCGGCATCGGGCTCGCACGTTGGTACGTGGGTGAGATGGAGTTGGCACTTCATCGGGTCCTCCGCCGGCAGGAGTGGGATCTGTGTGTCCGCGTCTGGCGCTCCAAAGCGGGAGGAGGGTCCGGTTGCCCAGTCGGGGTGGGCGACCCCGGCCGGGATGCAGGACCGAATGGGCACGCCAACTCGGCTGCCCTGTGATGGGAGGCCGCGGGGATGGTCGGTGGACTGGCCCCCGTACTTGCCCTTTTGGAGGCCTGTATTGTGCGTGTGCGTGTGTGTACTCTTCCGGGAGCGTCCGGCGGTGTGCCTTGTCGCCGCCATGCGCTATTCCTCGGTCCGAGCGGGGGGACGAGCCGGGAACGGGGTGACAACAAACGGGCCCCCCTCGTATCATTTTCCTGCGCTTCAATGGGAGATTGGCGAGCGGGAACACTTCCCCGGCCCGG